TGGAGTCAGAAAACCAAAAGGGAAGAACACGCTCAGCATTTCTCAAGCTGGGGAACTGAAGAAAAAAATCAAGCCTTGACTTTTGAATGATGCAGAAATTATCAAAAGAAGACGGAAGGAATACACAGTCACTGTATCAAAAGGAAATGAATGGTTGATGTTCAACCATTTCAAGAGGTAGCATATGATCAAGAGCCAATGATACTGAAGGAAGAAGCCCAAGGTGCATTGAAGGAATTGACATAGAACAAGGCTCCAGGAATTGATGGAATAAAAATTGAACTCTTTCAAGAAAGTGAGGCGGCACTGGAGGCACTCACTCATCTAAGCCAAGAAATCTGGAAGACAACTATCTGGCCAACTGATTAGAAAAGATCCATATTTGTGCCCATTTCCAAAGAAAGGTGACGCAATAGGATGTGGAAATCATACGACAATATCTTTGATAGCCCATGTGAGTAAAGTTTTACTAAAGTTTTACTTTTATAGTAAAAGTTTTACTTTCATAGTGAAGTTTTACTATATACTAATATACAAATGGCTGCAAGCATACATTGACAGAGAACTTCCAGAGGTTCAAGCCGGATTCAGAAGAGGACATGGAATGAGGGATATCATTGCTGACGTCCGATGGATCTTGGCTGAAAGCAGAGAATATTAGATATGGACAACATTGCAGAGTATTCCGGAACACTTCATTATGCTCATGAGGAATCTGTACATGGACCAAGAGGCAGTTTTTCTAACAGAACATGGGAACACTGAATGGTTTAAAATTAAGAAAGGTGTGCGACACGTTTGTATTCTTTCACCATACTTATCTTGTATGCTGAGCAAATAATTCTGAGAAGTTGGGTTATATGAAGAAAAATGTGTCATCAGGATTGGAGAAAGACTCATTAACAACCTGTGAGATGCAGATGATACAACCTTGTTTGCTGAAAGTGAAGAGGACTTAAAATACTTACTGATGAACATAAGAGACCACAGCCTTCGGTATGGATTGCATCTCAATGTAAAGAAAACAAAAATCCTCACCACTGGACCAATAAACAAAATTCTACTCAACAAAGACTGAAATTGTCAATGACTTCATTTTTCTTGAATCAACCATCAACACTCATGGAATTAGCAGTCAAGAAATCAAACTACGTATTACATTAGGCAAATCTGCTGCACAAGACCTTTTAAAAGTGTGGAAGAGCAAAGATGTCAGCTTGAGGACAAAGGTGCGCTTGACCCAAGCCATGGTATTTTCAATAACCTCATATGCATGTGAAAGCTGCACAATAAATAAAGACTGTAGAAGAATTGATGCTTTTGAGTTATGGTGTTGGAGAATACTGAAATTGCCATGGGCTGCCAAAAGAACCAACAGTGTTGAAAGAAGTGCAGCCAGAGTGCTCCTTGAAGGCCAGGATGGCCAAACTTTGTGTCTTATACTTTGAACATATTGTCAGGAGGGACCAGTTGCTGGAGAAGGATATCATGTTTGGTAAGGTGAAGGGTCAGAGAAAAAGAGGAAGACCACCACTAAGATGGATTGGCAAAGTGACAGCATCAACGGGCTCAAGTGTGGTAACAATTGTGAGGTTGGCCCAAGACCGGGCAGTGTTTTGTTCTGCTGTGCGTAGGGTCACTATGAGTCGGTACCAACTTGGCACCTAACAACCACAACGAGATGATGTGGTAGTTGGCTGTGTTGTCAGCTAACAACCAAGAGCTGCAAAATGTGATACAAAGTACCTGACTGAAGCATTTGATACAGCATCCAGCATGAAGTCAAAGTGTGCTAGTGACATACATAATGCTCATGGCTGTGACATGCCTGTGGAAGACCGAGAAGACCCCTACTCCTGCAAACTAGTCAACATCACACATCCAGTTTTGAATCAAGATATTGAGGCATTCCATCTTTCTGAAGATATTTCATCCAGACTGTCTGAGGATCAAGCTGTAAGTATGAGCGTCTGTGTTCTCTCCCTAATCCTTATTGCCAGTCTTGGAGTGTTCCATGATGCCAGTGATGCGGGTTTCCAGAGGAACATCACTGTCAAGCTCTGTCAAGCAGAGCAGGAGAAGGCTCTCTTTAGTGCTCTTTTTAGTCCTCCCAGCTGTGGTGTGCAGATGAACAAGCTAAAGTACAAACCTGTGGAACACTTCATCTTACCAGAAAGCTCTGAAGGCACAATTGGGTGGAAGAGCCAAGACCTCCAAAGCCTGGTGTCATGAAATCTTCACAAAGTGACAGTAAATGATGAAGGGGGAGTCCTGAGTCACTGTTGCTATGGAGGGCACACTGCCTCATGAATTCATGGAAGATATGGAGAGTTGCAGGTGGTTTTATTTATACTATTCAGGAAGGTCATACTTTCCTAAAAAAACTTAATTCTCATCCTCAAAGAGTTATTGATCACAGAACTAACTCCATGAGGAAGATGCCTTACTGAAGAAGGAAAGCAGCATCCATGATGAAATTGTTGAATATGTCGACACTTACCAAAATGATCATTCATGCAAAATGAATGAACTTCTATAGATGGATTATGGAAACTAGTTTTAATTAATTGCTAAAGACAGATGACCACTATTGCAAAGACTTAGAAACTGTATTTAATTGACTTGTCTACAAAAATCTGGATGGAACTGATTTTTGATGGAGAAATTTCAGACTGAATTGAGCAGCTGATCTAACTGGGAAAAGGCAAGAGTTGGACTATTCCAGTCCTGCATATCCTCTTTTTACATGTGTATCAGGCTATATCATCTCCAGATATGTTGTCCACTGGCTGGCAAGTAACTTAAAGAGACTGAAGATGTATCAGGGTGAAGATGTAATCATTTACACTTGGATGGCAGCTATAGGACCTAAAAGACACCAGGACAGCCTCTGATTGTGTCAGAAAACAGGTAAAACTTGAATGTTGTCTTCCCCTCAGTATTCTCCACAGGAACAGATCTATGGAGACTGAAGGGATTGTGTGGTGACCTTTGTAAATGAGAAGCAAGGTAATACTGGTTTTAATTAGTGGTGTTAAAGATCAGGATAAGGCGAATAATATTCTTGAGTGTAAGTCTGAGAAAAGCCCAATGTTATGTGGTCCTTCAGGATAGTTCTAAACTGGCACTTTCACTTGTAACCAATGAAGTATTTAATGTTTACACAAATTTTTCTCTTTAAAAATCAACTAATACTGTGACATAAGAAACATCCTTGTTTTATTAGATTTGAAAAATATGAAATTGTTTATAAAAGAAAAAATTTTCTAAATTCTAATACATTGTCTCTAATTAATAAATCCTCATTACCTATCATTTAGGGAGTGCAGTGACTTTGTAGGATAAGCATTGGACTTTGAACCACGAGGTCAGGGTGCGCCCACCTGCTGCTGCACAGGTGAAAGATAAGGCTTTCTGCTTTTTCAAAGATGTACAGCCTCAGTAACCCTACAAAGGGTAACTATGAGTTGGAACTGACTTGACAGTACTTAACAAGAGCAACAGTGAGTAGTGTGTGCTTCAGGTTGACCTGAAGAGTGTATGCCCTCAAAAGTTAAAGGGACTGAAATCCAAGCACCTATTCCATGTTTTCGGTTGATTAGTCTCAAAGTACTCATTCAGATTTCATGTCCCCTTATTGTCTACCTAGAAATAGTAGTTTGGGGTGGATCTTCATTCACCTCTACCCCTAACTATTCTGTTACCACTATCACTCCTCCAGCCAGAAGATACATACTTATTTCTGCTTGGCCCCACTCACCTCCTCCCTGCTGACCACTGAACGGAGCTTGGCGATACCTCCCTTCATTTCTTGCTCACCAATGATGACCACCAGTGGAATGCCCATTTTCTCACAATAGTGCAGCTGGGTTAGTAGTTTAGGATTATTCTTATACAGCAGCTCAGCCTGAAAGGGTAAGGACAGCGTAGGAAGCTTAGAAGTGACCACAGCACAAAAATCCTGGGATTAAGTATTTCCAGTGAAGCCAGAAATAAATGGCTGGCCTTCCTCTCCTAAGAAATCACTCCAGTGAAGACTGAAAAAGGACTGGTGTTCTAAGCTAAACATTAAAGTGGAAATAGGCCTGGGACTGAATTCTGTACATGCCTAGAAGGTTCAGATATCAGTCCTGCCATACGTACCTTGATCCCAGCATCCCAGAGCTCTGCAATTAGCTTCAGTCGTTCTTGGAGAAAGTTCTTCTGTGGTGTGGCCACAAATACTTGGGTCTCTGTGGTTCGTACCTTCTCACCAAAAATCTAATAAATATAGTAAAACAAATACAAATTCTTTTGCACAAGTAACTCCAAAAATTAAAAAATAGTCATCAGAAAAACAATCCAAATACACCTCCAGAAACATGAGGGTTTTTAGGCCTAGGACCTACCTTCATTTTCTGCTCCACAATGGAGAAGATCCGCTCCACCCCAATGCTGAGTCCCACACATGGCACCTTGTGGCTATTGGGGTCGAACATGCTCACCAGCTCATCATAGCGTCCACCGGCAGCTACACTGCCCATGCTCAGAGATTCCTCTCCAGCCTGATTTGGGGTCTGTAGCAGCACTGCTTCATAGATCACTCCTGTATAATAGTCTAAGCCCCGGGCCAGGCTTAGATCAAAGGAAATCTGTGGGTACAAAGCTATAGTTAATCTCAGATAAGATTTAAGATCCTGGGAGACCAGAGCTCAGAAGAAAGTTCACTGTCAGCTTATTTTACCTTCTCAGCAATTCCAAAGAGAGTCAGGTATTCAAACAACAGCTTCAGGTCCTCTAAGCCCTCCAGGGCCTGCTTATTCTGGGATAGTCTGGGATCTTGGAGCAGTTGCTCTACCAGAGATATCCCACCTGGGGAGACATGTGGGGAAAATAAGCTATCTTATTTTCATCCAGAAAGGAACTCTGGTAGTGTAGTGGTTACGAATCAGGCTCTGAACCACAAGTCAACAGTTCGAAACTACCAGCTGCTCCATGGGAGAAAGATGAGGCTTTCTGTTCCCATAAAGATTTACAGCCTCGCAAATGCTGTACAGGGTCACCATGAGTCAGAACCGACTCCACAGCATGTAACAACAACAACATTTTCATCCAGATGTGTTTCATCCAAAGTTATCCCTAATGTGGTTCAGCCAGTCCTAATCGTTTTCTTTTTTCAAAAGATCTTAAGGCCAGCCTCTACCTTTGCCATGTGAAAACACATAGTAACAGTACATAAAAGAGGAATCAGATTCGAGCCAGGCTCTGGCACTTAGCACAATCTCTGAAAAGGAGCACTTTCAGATGCAGAAGTTGTACACATGTCACCCTTACCCTGGTTCTATCATATATTCTGAAAACCCTGGTTCTTACCATGACGTTGGATGTAATCCCCAATTCTATCAGCTACCTCAGGATCCAGGCTTTTCTTTGACACCATGTCATGTCTCACGTCCTTCCAGGACATCTGCATAAATACCCAAACATTAACCCAGTCTCAAGACCTTTCTTTCTCTAACTGGCAAAAGACATGGCATCTGACTTTCATTTAGTATGTATGTCAGGAGCAGCTAATACTATACAGTCAGCAAAGTCAGAGGTAACTTAGGAAATGCAACCATAGTTCCCACTGCACAGTAGAACTCAGGACTTCCTTCAGAACGTCTCCTTACTTTCCTCTAAGAAATTGTTCACTTTCAGCCACCATCTCCTTACTTTTCTCTAAAGGTCGATTTGAGGTAGGCGAGAAACCTAGATGGGGTCTGCTGAAGCATGTCTTATTTTTTACCTTATCTAGTTTGTCTATCGAGGAGCAGATGGCTCGGAACTTGCTTTCTGGAACACCACAGGCAGCAAACATCCCATCTATAATCCGTCGGTCATTGACCTGCAAATTCAGTAAAAGTAACCTCAGTATCCTCTCAATGCCCTCTCAAAATAATGGCAATCCCTGCTCTCTTAACTCATAAAAGGAACAGAAAGGAAGTCTCACGGGAAGAGTATATTAAAAATGTAACATTTGTACTAAGTCTTGCAGGGTTAAGGGCTGGGTCCCCTATGTTTTGGCACTAGCATAAATAACATTATGCAAATTCAGACTTCTCCAGCTTAGTTCTCAACCCCGACCTCACCTTGATAAGAAAGTCCCCCAGCTGCAACCCACTTAGAATTTCACACATGATCTTCAAACATTCTGCATCAGGGATCATAGGGTCAAACTGACCAGCAATGTCAAAATCCTATAGCAAAGATAAAAAAAACAGGAAAAAAAATCTCCACTGATCAGCCAGATCCCAAGGCATAGCCTCCAGAATTCTCAAACTGTGCTTCATCGGTCACTTACACACTGGCAGAACTCCCTGTAACGGCCTTGGACTATGGTTGGGCTCTCCCGCCGCCATACTTTTCCAACATGATAGCGTTTCATCTTCTTTACTTTATTCATGGCCAGGTAACGAGCAAAAGGGACCTCACATAAATAGGTTAAGGAGGAATGATACTGCATCTAAAGCTCAGGCTCTGTGCACAGAGACTAGGGAGGACTGGGCCTCTAAAAAATGGATCCCATTCACTAGCATGAGAACAAGAACCTTTTGAAGAGTCCTATTCCCCAAAGCGTAGCAGTGCTGGACTCAAGTGAGGCAGCGGTAGTGAGGCTGGCCCAGGATTGGACATTGTTTCATTCTGCTGTACATGGGGTTGCTATGAGTCAGTTCCGACTCGATGGCACCTGACAACAACAACACAACAACTCCAAGCCAGGCTCTGCTGGCACAATTGCCTTCAAGGAGAAACTGGCTGTACCGGCTTCCAATGTACCTATAGGGTCTCCTTGGAGATTCTCTTGTTCCTTTTGTTATATAAAGCCCTCTGGGTTGGAAAGACATAGGTCAGGTTCCAGCACTCAGAAGGATACAGTAAGGTCATAACGAAGGGACAACAGCTCTCCACCCTGATCCTTCAGATCATAGATGAGCAAAGAGTCCTCTCCATACTTTTCAGTGAGCATTTCCTGCAGGGGTCAAACATAAAGAAGAACCACAATTCCAAGAACTCTAGCACATAGGCTAGAAGCCTTTTGACATACCAGCCAGTTGAAGAAATGAGGTTCCAGGCATGTTCTCCTTCTTTACTCCTTACCTTCAGTTCAAATGCTGGGGTATCCAAACCCTTTGCTCCATGTCGTTTAAAGCAGCTGACAACCATATCAAGAATTTTCTCCCTCACAACCATCTGCTGCGGACTAAGATCCCTGGTGCCCTGAGAACCAAAAGCAGACAAAAGGAGAGTAAGGGGGAGGAAATGTCATTTTAAGGCAAAAAATTAAACTATAGTTATAAGCTAAGGTCTGGCAATGAAATCTCTTGAGTTTAACTGACTCTGACCCCAACCCAGTATTTCATGAACATAAAGAAATTAAAAGAAAAATGCTTAATGTTTTAAAAAGACTTTAAAAGAGGTCAGGGAGAGAAGCAGAGCAGAAAACTGTCCCCTAAGTCACTCTAATAATACATGGTGGGGCAAAGGGAATTCATTACCTTTGGGGTCTTGATAATAAAATTTGATTTCTCTTGATTTGGTTTCAGTTGAGACGTTAACACTGCCTTGGCAACCTGGCAAAAGAAGGAATGCGAGATGTGGCTCCCCCTTGCCACTGGCCAGACCTGTGACATCTCTGATCTCATGGACCACCAATCTGTATAGACGTCTGACCCTGAGCAACAGGATGCCTGAGCAGCATTTATCTATCCCAATCTCAGCCCCCACCTTCAAAAACTCCTATAGTGTCTGCAGTGTTCATGAGACCAGGTCTTCACCACACGAGTGCTCTCTATTTAGTTTTTGAATGCTGGAAAGGTTTAAGCACCTGAGAAGAATGAAGGCACAGAGCCACCCACTGATACTACTACCAACCATCTAGGGTTAGAGATTAATATAATCTCCTACAGTTCTCAGTTCCTACTTAAAAAGCAAATATAAGAATTTTTAAGATTGCAACTCTGGTCAGTAGGCTTGGAAAAGACAAAATATAACTTGAAGACAGAAGAAAACCATCCAAGGGCCTCATACAAGCCAATGGAATGAACAGGAATGGATTTCCTGGTTGAACTAAAAAAGTCAGGCTGGTAGGATGCTGAGACTGAAAAATCAGTAACAAAAAACTTGAACCCTATTGTTCATGACCATCTCCTAGTAATACAACAGGGTCTTTCAGAAGAAAGACAAAATGGAATCTGTGACTTTATTTGATTATAATAAGCAGGCAGTATATACCCTTCCAGACATAGAGGTTGTGCTAATTCCATACTTGGGCAAATTCTCTCCCCCAAGGGATGGCAGTTCAAATCCACAATCCTTCAACTGCAATTCAAAAATTCAAAACACTGAAAATACTTTTTGAAAATCATTTTGAGGTAAGTTCTAATGTGAACAGTAGTCAGTCAACTTAAGATCTTTAGCTATCTCAGTGGGAATACTCATACATCTTGCTTAAGAAGTAAGGACTCCTGGTGTGGTGCTGTGGGATAAAGCACTAGACTGCAAAATCGGTTTGAACCATACAAGGTCGGCAATTCAAACTCAACAGCTGCTCCTTGGAAACCCTATACAGGGTCAGTATGAGTCGGGACCGACTGGATGGCACTTAACAACCACAATAGGTGCAGTCCTAGATCCCACTAAAGGTGGAAGGGGAATATGGTATATTGCCTTTTACTTTTCTAAAGTCTAAAAAACTAATTTCGAAAAACATCTGGATCCAAAAGTGTCTGACAAAGGATTGTGTACCTGTATTAAAAGTCTTTCTTATTATTTATCTGTAGGTAAATCATTTAACCTTGCAGCCACGATTGTTTCCTCAAGTGTAAACTGTTAAGACTACTCCCAACCTCTCAAGATTACTTCAAAGTATTTAAATCGCTTAGCTCAGTGCCAGCACACAGAAGGTACTCAATAAAACTAACATTACTAGAGTATATGCCAGGAGTTCATGCTTTTAAACCTGGAGACTTTGTCCCGACTGACCGGAGCTCTTTCAGTCCGGCTCACGTGGCTATGAGAACGGATCGCCCGGGTGCAGGCACCATGGGGAGGCCGCAGGAGCTGGCTGAGCAGCGAAACACAGGCCCTCCCGGGCAGGAGTCCGAGCTGGGGCATCACGCGATAGGCAGCCGTCTTTCCAGGACAGCAATCAAAGATACTGGGGAAGCGGCAGGTCTGACTCCAGGATGGGTGCAGGACGCTAACAGAGGCGAAGCCGGAGTACCAGTGAAAAATTAAAGGATCTCCCGCCTTACCACTGAGACTCCTTTAGCAATGATTTCTGTACTTCCGGTAGGATCCGGAAGTGGTTGTGTTATGTGCTAGGCGGAGGCTCTCTGGACGTGCTCTGCAGTGACTCGGTAGCCGGAAGTCATCCAGGCTAAGGCTGCGGCGACCGCGGCGGGACTTGGTAGCCGTCAGCACGAATTGGCAGTCGGCATGGCTGATCGTGCGGCTGTGGAGGAGCTGGTGCGACTTCAAGGAGAGCGCGTGCGGGCCCTCAAGCAGCAGAAGGCCAGCGCTGAGCAGGTGTGGCCTGGGCGGCAGGGGATGGCCGTCTGGGGAAAGGCCAAGGCAAGGCCAGGGAAAACCTAAAGCCCGAGTAGTCCGCAGAGAGGATACAGATGACGGGGAAAGGACCAGGCTTGTAGGGAGAAGGTTGGGTTGGGTGGGAAGGGGCTAGGAGGGTCCAGAGAGAAGCAAAGCTAGGCTAAACCAGGGAAGAGACATCTGTAGGAGGGATATTGAATGAATGACGGGGGAGGGAGGGGTGTGGCAGATGGATAGCCCTGCGCCTCCTTTCCCTACACAGATCGAGGAGGAGGTGGCAAAACTCCTGAAACTGAAGGCACAACTGGGCCCTGATGAAGGGAAACTGAAGTTTGTGCTCAAAACCCCCAAGGTAAATTTCAAACCCCTCCTCCCCGGTAGTCCCATCCATATGCCTGTTTCTCCAAACCAGATCCATCACTGAGGAGGATCTCAAATATTGCCAAGGAAACACTGTAGCTCTAAGCACTGGCTGGACTGGACTCTACTTGGGTCGTTCTGGGATGACAGAAACTAGGCCAGTTGGGTGTTCATGGAATCTGCCTGCTACTGCGGCTACTCCTTTTCTTTCAGCAGATACTGAGTGTTTATTATATGCCTATCAACATATAAAGATTTACAGTGGTGAACAATATAGACTGCCCTCAGTGGAGCTTACATTCTACTGAAGAAGTCAGGTTTAGAACAAGTAATCCCACACATGGATGTGTAATTACAAATTATGATAAAATCTGTCAACCTTGTGCTGAATTGTCACTTTAACTTTAATTACTTAGGCTCCTAAATTCTTTGAGCTATTCCTTTCTACACACAACTCATTTTCAGAAGTTAAAAAGACAAGTGTAAATAAAGTTCCAAAGCAGTGATCATCAGTGATTACTCAAACTATTGTTGTTGTTAAGTACCATCAAGTCAGTTCTCACTCACAGCATAGGGTTTCTGAGTTATGGCTGGTGAGTCTGTGATTCAAACTGACCTTGCAGTCAGTGCTTATCCTACAGGGCCGCATCAGAGCATTAATGGAGAATTTTTGATCAATCATGCAGGCCTTACCTGGACTCAGTGATCAATCTTAGCATTACTAAAAGTAGGATAACCAGACATTATGTGTCTCCTGATGTGATGCAATAGGAATTAAACAGCCCCACCTAACAGTGGTTACGAATTGGGCTGCAAACCGCAAGGTCAGCAGTTCGAAACTACCAGCTGTTCCACAAGAGAAAGATGAGGCTTTCTGCTCCTATAAAGATTTACAGCCTTGGAAACCCTGTACAGGGTCACTATGAGTTGCAACTGACTCCATGGCACATAACAACAACAGCCTGTAAAGTAGTATTACCAGAAGGAACTACTGAATCCGAGTCAAATCAGGCCATCGCACTTAACTACCATTAACTACCACTTAACTACCATTAACTACCATGCACATTTTGATTCCAAGGGCACAAGAGATTACAGTCCCCGGCAGATGGCAGTTCGGGAGAAGGTATTTGCTGTAATTATCAACTGCTTTAAGCGCCATGGTGCAGAAGTAATTGATACACCTGTGTTTGAACTAAAGGTGAGGAGAAATTGCATGGTGGGAGAATGGGCATGTGAACAACAGAAAGGATGAGAGAGAGAGCCCCTGTCTTAGTTATCTTGTGTTACTATAACAGAAATACCACAAGTGAGAAAAACAAATTTATTTTCTCAGTTGAGGAGGCTAGAAGTTTGAATTCAAGGTGCTAACTATAGAGGAAGACTTTCTGTCTCTAGAGAGGAAGGTCCTTGTCTCTTCAGCTTGTTTCCTGGCTCCTGGAGATCTCTGTGTAGTTAGTATCCAATCTTCGCCCTGCTCTACGTCATTAATCTACTACTTTTATATTTTGTAAAAGATTGGCTCAAAACATAATCCTATCTCATGAATAGAGCAAAAACAATTCATTCCTAAATAGGATTATAACCACAAGCATAGAGGTTAGACTTTATAACACACATTTTTGGAGACACAATCCATAACAGCCCCCACTCCTTATACAGACACAGACAGTATTTTCTCCAGTAAGAAGGAAGACAGGACTGGCCTGGAGAGAGAGGCCATGCCTTTTATTTTCCTTGATGTGGCCAGAAGCTTCCAAAAAAGAAAGCCCTTTTTTAAGACTGAAAGTTACTATGTCTTATGCTCATGTCTTTGAATTTCATGGTCCGTCTGTTTGAAATATTTTCTAGGTACACGTTGTTGTTGTTGTTGTTAAGTGCTGGTCAGTCAGTTCTAACCCATAGTGACCCTGTAAAGAGTTTCTGAGGAGCGGCTGGTGAGCCTGAACCGCCGACCTTGCAGTTCAAACTGACTTTGCAGTCAAGCGCATTAACCCACAGTGCCACACCAGGACTCCTAGGTACAGACAAGCCTCACATAAAGTGTAAATATTCAACCTCAAGATTGTTATTTCTAGGTGTTACCTATTAAAAACCAGATTGGCTTATTATGTGCTTAAGACCTGTTGAATTTATCATAAAATCCAAACTCTTTACTGGCAAAGTAGGTTAAGCATTGGACTGCTAACAGTGAGGTTAGCAGTATAAATCCACCAGCTGCTCTTCAGGAGAAAAATGAGACTGTCTGCTCTTGTAAAACTTTACAGCCTCAGAAACCCAAAGGCACAATTTTAATCTATACTGGTATGGCACTGTAGAATAAGCACTGGACTGTTAACCACAAGTTTGGTGGTTCAAATCTACCATCTATTCCTCGGAAATCCTCTGTAGGGTTGCTGTAGGTTGGAACCAACTCTACAACACTTAACAACAACAGCACAGGGTAGCTGTGAGTTGAAATTGCTTCGATAGTAGTGGATTATGAAGCCCTACATGATCCGGCCATTGCCTACTTTTCCACTTTAGCTCAGGTTGTTCTTCCCTTTGCACACCATGCTTTTCTGTCATGGAACATACTATGTTTTTACTTCAGAGCCTTTCTTCTTCCTGAATGTTCCTTTCCCCAACTCTTTGCATGACTTTAATTTCAGATTAAATTAAGTTAGAAGTTGTAGATTTTCGTTTCAGATCTCAACTAAAATGCTTTTCCTCAGAAAATTTTCAACTATCTTATCTGAAAAGGAGCTCTGGTAGTGTAGTGGTTATGAATCGGGCTGTGGGCCGCAAGGTCAGCAGTTCGAAACTACCAGCTGTTCTGCCGGAGAAAGAGGAGGCTTTCTGCTCCCATAAAGATTTACAGCCTCGGAAACCCTGTACAGGGTCGCTATGAGTCGAACCGACTCCACGGCACATAACAACAACAACAGTCTTGTCTAAAGTAATCCTCAACTTTACCATGTTTTTTATTTCCTTTAAAGGAATGTATCTAAATCTAAATAAATCTAAAATTATTGTTTCCTTGCTTTTTTTTTTTTTGTATTGTATGGCCTTCCTCTCCTCCCTCAGTATAGAAGATCCTTGAGGGCATGGACAACCTGGCTTGTTCATTGCTATACATTCAGTGTTAGAACAATGTCTGGTAATGGTGGGCATGGTGTATGCATAGAAATGAAATTTCTGAGTCAAAAAGTTATACCCACTTGTGCTTTTACCAATAAGTGTCTGAGTGTTTCTGTTTCTACACATTGGAATTTTCAAGTTTTTTAATCTTGCCAACCTGGTAGATGCAATATGTTATCAGTTTGTTGGAGATATCACTGGTTTGATGCCTTTTAGGCATTCTTATCTTGGGCTTTGACATTGTTCAACTCTTTGGTATCATAAAATTATTCGTGCTTGTTGAATACATCCTCAAGAAAACAAAAAAATTTTTAAACTATGTCACCAAATTTGTTTACTGAAATGTTATGAAATACAGCTAATAGTATAACACTAGGGAAAAGAAAGTGCATTTCTGAATGAAATATTATGCATCTTTGAAAAATAATACTTCAGCTGTGTCACTTAATGGAAATGTGATTAAGTGTAAAATTGATGTTTCCTTTGGATAACTACATCAAATACATAAGCATTGAATAGACAGCACAGTGAAGTATAAACAAGTTGACAATCAGTCATGAGAGAGCAGTGGGTTTTTCTTTGCAAAATTTCCTTTTATATAGTGCTATATATTCATCGTTTGATCACTTTTCTTTATTTTTCTCTAGGAAACACTGACTGGAAAGTATGGGGAAGACTCTAAACTTATCTATGACTTGAAGGACCAGGGTGGAGAACTGCTTTCCCTTCGCTATGACCTCACTGTATCTTTCTAAACCTGGGCTCTTGACTCTTTGGATGGACTGGTTATCACTGGGCTGGGACGATCCCTAATCTCAAGTTCTCTAACGTCAAGTTTGGCAACAGGGAGGCTTAGGTAGGATTAAATATGAGGCATTTGGCAATTAGAGGAATTCTTGCGTTTAAATAAGAGTGGAACTTTGGCTAAATAAAACATAGCCTTATAACCTTAGATCTCTCCCAGAATCTGAATGAGATTTCAGCTTTATGTTGCTCAGACCTCTACCAACAGTCTCCTGGCCCCAGAATACCTCTTCCTTTCTCAGTCCAGTGGACAAAGTCCTCTTTTAATTGACCAACCGCACAGTTCTCTTATCTCAATCCTTGCAGTAAGGTATTACCTTTCTCTTTTCCTAAGTACAGAAGATCTTTGAGGGCATGGGCAATCTTGTCTTGTTCGTTGCTATACATTCAGTATGAGAACAAGGTCTGGTAAAGATGAGCATGTATCTGCAGGGTAGCTACATAGAAATGGAATTTCTGAGTCAATAAGTTGTATCCACTTGTACTTTAACCAATCAGTGTCTGAGTGTTTCCATTTCTACACATTGGAATTTTCAGGTTTTTTAGTCTTTGCCAGTCCGGTAGATGAAATATGTTACCAACTTGTTGGAGATATCACTGCTTTAACACCCTTAAGGCATTCTCAGTTTGGGCTTTCGCATTGTTCAGCTTTATGGAGTCATTATTCATTATTCATGTTCTTTGAATTCCTAGGAATTCATCCTCAAGAAAAACATTTTTAAAGCTGTGTTCCTGAATATGTTTGGCAGAGAGCCATCTGCTTTGAGACTCCAGATGGGGTCCTTTCTCTGCTTTTAGTCTATCTTCCCAGGCCTTTGCCTTGTTCAGCGTAGCTGAGGGGAGAGACTGACTACCAAAAAGAAACGAACCTTACCCTTATTTGAAACTTCACTTGCCCCTTCATGGCAAAGTTGATTCTGATATTCAGAAATGCTGTTAATCTCATGAGTGGTGGTTTATCCGGCACAGGGAGGGGTTAGACCTTTGCTTCTGTTGGTTGGTGATAACCAACTTCTAGATTGTTGGTGTTAGGAGGGGCTTTCTCCTTAACCCTTTGTCCTCAGGTTCCTTTTGCTCGATATTTGGCAATGAATAAGCTGACCAACATTAAACGCTACCACATAGCAAAAGTGTATCGGCGGGATAACCCAGCCATGACCCGTGGCCGATACCGGGAATTCTACCAGTGTGTGAGTGCTGGGGAACCATGGGGCAGGATGAGTAATAGCAAATGGGATGCTCCAAATAATGATAACCCTTAAGTTTCTCTGGTGTTTTCATATAGATTTCAAAACAGCCTTATGGGGAGGGTGTTACTGGAGTTATTCCCATCTTATCCCAATAAACTTGAGGCTAGCAAGGGATAAGATAAGAAAGACAAAGTCAGGACTGGAACTCTAGATCCTTTGCTCTGTATATTAAACCACAGTGATGAGATCACAGCAGAGAATGGGGAAGTTGGATTTAAGGTATCAGATCATCCAGATTGAGCAAAGAGCTGGATAAGTAAAGAAGATGGCTAGCTAAGGACTAAGGCTGGATAATTTCCAACAGCAGTAGAAAGAATTGGAGAAGTAGATGAGTGAGATGATGAAGTAACAGTCTAGATGGAAAGGAAACCAGGACTAGTGAAAGGCCCGTGAATGCCAGAGTTTTCCATTGGGCTATTGGCTAAACATAGAGAATGAAGGAGTCTGTGCTTGACTGCACACAGAGAGAACAGAGCTCCCAGGAACCCCTCTTACAAAGACTAAGCCCTAATTCCACCTCTGTCCCTCCTCCTGCAGGATTTTGACATTGCTGGGCAATTTGACCCCATGATTCCTGATGCAGAATGCCTAAAAATCATGTGTGAGATTCTGAGTTCACTTCAGCTAGGAGACTTCCTGATCAAGGTCAGAGCCAAACTGGGCTGGGAAAGCAAGTTGGGTCTGGCCTCTCAAAGGAGAGGGTCCTTGTGAAGACAGAATCGTAGCCCAAGTGATCAAGGCTATTGAAGATCATGTAAAGGAAAGAGATTCCCTCCTCATTCCCTGCAGGTGAATGACCGGCGCATCCTAGATGGATTGTTTGCCATCTGTGGTGTTCCTGATAGCAAGTTCCGCACTATCTGCTCCTCCGTGGACAAACTGGACAAGGTAACAACCCAAACACCTGACTGCTCTTTGCAGATCCCACCCTGCCTTGGGAAATGGAAAACAAGTTTGAAGAGAGAGGTACCCGCTTTTATGCCCATAAGAGGTAGATTCGCCCCAGGTTGAAGTGCAGCTTCTTCTCTAGTGTTGCCCCCAGGGAGGGCCCACACTTGCTCTGCCAGGGGAAACTGCCCAGGGGTCTCTGACTGGTGTCTGTCTGCCAGGTGTCCTGGGAAGAAGTGAAGAATGAGATGGTGGGAGAGAAGGGCCTTGCACCTGAGGTGGCTGATCGCATTGGGGAGTACGTCCTGCAGCATGGTGAGAAGCAGGACCAGCCTCCCTAGCGGAGTCCCACTGCTTTCAGTCCAGAAGTGTGTAGGTAGAGAGTGTGTATGTGTGTATGCACACACATAACACACACAGTATGCAGGTATATTCTTGTCAGTCAGTCTGGCTAATGAATCTGTCTTCCCAGGTGGGGTATCTCTGGTGGAGCAGCTACTCCAGGATCCTAAACTGTCCCAGAACAAACAGGCCTTGGAGGGCCTGGGAGACTTGAAGCTGCTCTTTGAATACCTGACCCTATTTGGCATTGCTAACAAAGTGAGTCAAATTGAGGGTAAATGGGTTCCCTTAGCTGAGCTCTGGGACTTCAGGTCATCAGTGACCCATATATGGTACTGATTGTGTCCTTGTCCACACAGATCTCCTTTGACTTGAGCCTTGCTCGAGGGCTGGACTACTATACTGGAGTGATCTATGAAGCAGTATTGCTACAGACCCCAGCCAGAGCAGGGGAAGAGCCCCTGGGTGTGGGCAGTGTGGCTGCTGGTGGGCGCTACGATGGGCTGGTGGGCATGTTCGACCCCAAAGGGCGCAAGGTGCCATGTGTGGGGCTCAGCATTGGGGTGGAGCGGATCTTCTCCATTGTGGAGCAGAGGCTGGAGGTAGGTCCTAGAAAGTGGATAGAAAAGGTCTGGGCAAGTAACAGCACCAGTGCTGTCTTCTTTGAATATTCCATGGGGGCCGGTGGTATTGCTTTGGTCAAGTACCTGTCTGCTCCTGGGATCCACGAGGCCTGCCTTGGCTTTCTAGCACCTATAGCAGCACCAGGAAAGCCCCACATGGCTTCAAGCCTCCTTTATTGTTGCTGCTCTAACTAGCTGGTTGCTTTCATCCTATGGGAAATTATCTGGCAATAACCTTCCCACTGGTCCCATTCCTTCTCTCTAGGGTGGAACCACCCTTGGTTCCCAATTAGGTCACTATTCCAGTAGGCATTGTATGTTGTAAGAACTATTGTCATAGTTCTCTACTGCTGCCATACAGAAATACCACAAGTGGGTGGCTTTAAAAAACAGAAATTTATTTTCTCACAGTTCTGGAGGCTAAAAGTCCAAATCAGAGTCTCAGCTGCGTCAGTGGCCCAGGAGTTCCTTGACTCCTTGGCTTGTGTATGATTCTCACATGGCGTCTTTCTTCACATGCCAGTATACCACATTTTTACACAAATCATGCATGCGTTAACATGTTTTTTTCCAAACCATACAACTTCCTTGTGCATTGGCTTCTTATGTGTATTATATCCATGAGCAAATTATATTTTAAAAAATACAGTATCTAATCTGCCCTTTTTATAGCTGAGAGTGATTAAATTTAGAACTCACCCTACTTGGATATGGAGTCCTGGTGTGGCACTGTGGGATAATATGTTAGACTGCAAAGTCGGTTTGAACTGCAAGGTCAGCGGTTCAAGCTCACCAACTGCTACTTGGAATTCCTATACAGGGTTGCTATGGGTCGGAACTGACTCAATGGCACTTAACAATAACTACTACTTGGCTTTGATCTAATTAATATAACAGAAAGCCCTATTTCCAAACAGGATTACATTGACAAATATAGGAGTTAGAATTCCAACACATTATGAGGTGGGGTAGGATGGAGCGTGGGTTGTTAATCCATAAAAACTATGAGAGTAGTTTTCCAGAAAAACAGGGACAGTGGCAGCATTCTTCTCTCAATATACACATGTCTTAGGTTGTGCCCTGTGGCTGAGGGAGATAAGACATAGTCTTTATGGGCAGATAATGAGTAAGGACTAGAACTACCAGGGGTAGTTTGATTGGCCAGGATTGGGTTAATAGTGTCACTTCTGAGTGAGTTCTTGTGCACTCTTACTACTTAGTACATGGAGATGAGCTCAAAATCACTATACTTAAGCTATCTCTGCCCTTGCCCTTTGTTGTTGTTAAGTGCCTTCAAGTCAGTTCCTACTAATAGCAACCCTGTGTAGGGAGTTCCAAGGAACAGCTGGTGAGTTTGAACTGCCAACCTTATGGTTCACACTGACCCTGCAGTCCAGTGCTTTATCCCACAGCACCACATCAGAACTCCACCCTTGCCCTTGTTGTTGTTGTTGTTAGGTGCCATCGAGTTGGTACTGACCCATAGCGACCTTATGCACAGAAGAACGAAACACTGCCTGATCCTGGGCCAACCTCGCTACTGTTGCCACACTTGAGTCCATCAATGCTGCCACTTGGCCAATCCATCTCGTTGGGGGTCTTCCTCTTTTTCTCTGACCCTCCACCTTACCAAACATGATACCCTTCTCCAGCAACTGGTCCCTGCTGACAATATTTTTGAAGTATGAGAGACAAAGTTTGGCTATCTTGGCCTCTAAGGAGCACTCTGGCTGCACTTCTTCCAAAATGGGTCTGTTGGTTCTTTCAGCAGCCCAAGGCACTTTCTATATTCTTCTCTTAACACCATAACTCAAAAGCATCAATTCTTCTATGGTATTCCTTACTCACTGTCCAGCTTTTGCATGCATATGAGGTTACGGAATATACCACTCGTCTGCCAGTTTGTTGTAGTGTGGTGGCTTGTGAGTTGCTGTGATTCTGAAAGCTATGCCACCAGTATTTTAAATACCAGCAGGGTCACCCATGGTGGACAGGTTTCAGATGAGCTTCCAGATGAAGACAGACAAGAAGAAGGAGTGACGAACTACTTCCAAATATTTAGTCACTGAAAACTTTGCCCTAGTAGATGGTATTTATTTCAACAGGTCATATGTACAAGCCAGTCAGATAATTTCTGAAAATATACATCAGTTCCTCTAAGAGCTATCCAATGCCCAGTTGCTAGATGATGAGAAACCTGGGCTCCTGCTCTGGTGGAGCTTGCTGAGTGGGGCCTAGTCTCTCAGAATCCTGACTAGAGCCTGCTCTGTTTGCTCCTTAAAGGCTAGCCCAGCTGTGACTCTTCTCTGCCCCTTCCTCAGGCTTTGGAGGAGAAGGTACGGACCACAGAGACACAAGTACTTGTGGCATCTGCACAGAAAAAACTGCTGGAGGAAAGACTGAAACTTGTCTCAGAGCTATGGGATGCCGGCATCAAGGTACAGGAGATAAGCCCCAGGGTGGCCGCAACTTGGGGGTATTGTGCACAGGCTAAATTAAAAATCATACATGAGGGTAACTCAAAAAATATTGCTACAAAATCAGACATTTTTACGAAGCAACATTATCAAAATATCAAAACAAAAGCTATTGTTTCTCAACATATCCTCCACGTAAGTTTATTCACAGTTGAAGGCGATATTTCCATCTCTCTATCCCTTCCCCCAAAGAATTCTGAGCTCTTCAGTTTATAGCATGTCAAAACAGCAGTCTTGGCGTCTTCAAGGAACTCAAATTGTGTTCCTTTTAAATGTTCTTTGAGTTTGGGTAACAAAAAGAAGTCTAAAGGGGCAAGATCAAGACTATATGGTTGGCTGCTGTATGGTTGATCTGGGCTAAAAGGTCTCCCAGTGAAATTTTCATAGGACAGCCCCTTGCTGCCTTTGAAAAATGAGCAGGTACGTGGTCACAATGTTAACAAATTCCTTGGCACAAATTTCCTTGCCTTTTTCTCATCATGTAGTTTTCAGTTTTCTTAAAACTAATTATTGCCTTGTGTCCTTCAAGAAATTTTATCAAGATGACCCCTTTAGAATCCCCCCAAAATAGATGCCGTGACCTTTTGAGCCAACCTCTCTACCTTGAATTTAACTGACCCAGCAGATCCCCTGGGAAGCCTCTGTTTTGACTGAACCTTGCTTTCTATGTCGTATTGGTAAATTCAAGAAGCATCCCCATTTATGATTTATTCCATAAAATCGTTTTCATTAGCTTCAGTCTTGCTTAAAAGACTAATGCAAAGATCGACTCTTTGAGCTAGCTGATCTTTCTGTAACATTTTTGTACCCATTGAGCCTTAAGCTTGCTGAGACCAAGATGTTCATTTAAAATTGAAAATACCAAAGCATTTGAGATCCCAATTTCATCAGTTATTACATCAATGGTAATCCTATGGGGTTTTTTCACCAGTTTCTGGATTTTAACCATTTTCTTCATTTGTTGAGGTTGATAGTCTTCCCTGATCTTTGAGGTCTTTCCAGCCTTCCTAAAAATGTTTGCTCCATCTAAAACCTGTTGTTTTATGTAAACGTGTTACATTGCTTCAAGGATTTGGAAAGGTGTCCACTTGAGTTTTTAAAATTTGGGATTACCTTTGACCTCAAAATCATTTTTCCAAAGCACAAAAAGTATCCTTTTTTTGGAAGGCATCCAAATAAAACTAAAATAAGTGTATTGCTGAGTGAAATTGTTTGTAGAAACATGTTTAAACACATTTTGTTTGGATTAAACTTGTGCGTGTATGAACTGGAACCCTAGCATAACTACTTTTTAACTTTACCCTAATACAGTGACTCTTTCCATTACTGTGAGTTCATGGGGTAGAGCTAAGAGCAAGGTGCCAACCTGACCTCATAGGACGTTTTCCCTGAGGGCAGCAAAAGCCAGTCTTCATCTTCTGTTCTGGTCCTCTGCAGGCAGAACTGCTTTACAAGAAGAACCCAAAGTTACTGAACCAGTTGCAGTACTGTGAGGAAGCAGGCATCCCACTCGTGGCCATCATTGGAGAGCAAGAACTCAAGGATGGGGTCATCAAGCTACGTTCAGTGGCTAACAGGGAAGAGGTGAGAAGGCAGACAAGAATTGTGAGGGAGAAGGAAAACTCAAAAAGTCCAGCCTTTTCATATTAGTGCTATTACTGTTAAGTGTCATCGAGTTGATTCCAACTCATAGCAACATTGTACAGGGTTTCCAAGGAGCAGCTGGTGAGTTTGCACTGCCAACCTTGTGATTTGCAGTCCAGTGCTTATCCACCAGCGCCTCACCAGGAGTCCTATTAGTACCCACTTACTCATAAAAGACTCATTGGTCTAACATACAGTATATGCTCAATAAATTGCATATTTCTATGGTCATGGTAGGCTAAGATCTTCATTACCCTGTATATATGTTTCTATAGCTCCCCCAAGAGGCACTGCCAACCCTGGGGTGTTTAATGGGTTTCTGCTCCCAGCTGAGCCAAGTCTCAAGACTAGGGGAAGGAGTGGAAGATGCTCACACCACCTTCTTTCCTTTTCCCTACCTGGCCAGGTGGATGTCAGAAGAGAAGATCTTGTGGAGGAAATCAAAAAGAGAACAAGCCAGCCCCACTGCATCTGCTGAACTGAAGGGACTATCAGAGCAAAATGAGACTAGTACTATTTGAGTCTGAGGCAAAACTCTGCATTTGCACTTCCAACAGTTTTGCATAGTTCTCTTCTGGCAGGAAGACCTAAAGAATGGCCAGAGCAGAGATTTTTCATTACAAGTATTTTATTGGTAATCACTGGCTAAATGGCCAGGTGCTACACCAGGAGAGCACTGGGGACCTAATGCAGCCAGCATGCCTCTGCTACAGCGCCCCACACCAGATGGAGGGGATTCCTACCCATAACCTGTTACCAATTGTCCAATAAAATGCTTCAACTATTGGAGCCTGCCTGCGTCACTGGGGCCTAGCCCTGCCTTTCCCCTCAGAACTGGGGCCTCCTCTCTTTCAGGCCACTTTACTGGTAGTAAAGGGAAGAAAGCCTTATAGAGGGCCTTTGGATAAAGAGTGCCTCTGGGTTCTTGCCTCCAGCGTCCACCTGGTGCCATTTCAAGAGCCACTCCCCGCCCCCTTCATCCATTAGCGTTGATAGCTTTCACCTGCAGACCCGAGGGTTTAAGGCGCACGTGCGGTGGTATCCCCACCCCCTTGGGAGGCGGGGTTGTGCTCAGAACCAATGAGAGTTTGGGGGATGAGGGGAAGGAAGCTTCCAGAGATCGCTGCGGGAAGAAGTTATAAAGAGTACAGGCAGGTCGGTGGGTTAGCCATGCAATCCAAGCGGGAATGTGAGGTAAGTAACTAGCTATGAAGGGTTGCCACCACCCTCCACCTACTCAAGGCAAAGGGGGTTACAGGGCTTCTAGCAGCATAAGCGAGGCGGAGGGGGGCTGGGCGAGCCACCATTGCATCCTGCCCTTTCCTTCCCAGCTGTGGTGTGAGCGGGTGAATCCGGAGAACAAGGCGGCGCTGGAGGCGTGGGTCAGAGAAACAGGCATCCGACTGGTGCAGGTGAACGGGCAGAGGAAGTATGGCGGGCCACCCCCAGGTACGGTAGTCAGGACCCCTGCTCCCCCAACCTGGTCGACCCTGCCCAGCCCCTTTTGGGGGTGGGGCCTGATTCTAGGCTCCACCGTCAAAAACCTCCTGAATACCCGGATTTACACCCCAAACAGACGAGACAGGAAACTGCTTGTTGGTAGTTCCTGAGATATCCGACCCATCGTGGAAGAGAAGTAATATTCAGCTGCAGCCATTTTGTGCCAGCTCTGGAGTTACCTCCAAAACCAAAGCAAATCCACGGCTATCGAGTCGCTGCTGATTCATAGCGACTCTATAAAGGGTTTCCTAGACTAAATCTTTACGGGAGTAGGCAGTCACATTTTTCTGCCCTGGAGCGGCTAATGGGCTTGAACTGCAAGGCCTCTCTAGTAACCATCCAACGTCTAACTTACGGCCTCACCAGAGTTAGCTCGGCCCGTTGGCTCTGGAGTATGACTGTTGTACCCATTTCACAGACGTTTGTGCACATAGCTCAATTCTGCTCTGAGCCCCAAACCCAGAACTGTCATGGCGAATGACGGTATCCACTCTGCCCCCTCCTCCTGTTTCTCAGGCTGGGTGGGCAGCCCGCCGCCTGCTGGATCAGAAGTGTTCATCGGGCGGCTGCCCCAAGACGTGTACGAGCACCAGCTGATCCCACTGTTCCAGCGAGTGGGCCGCCTGTACGAGTTCCGCCTGATGATGACCTTCAGCGGCCTGAACCGCGGCTTCGCCTATGCCCGCTACAGCTCGCGGCGTGGGGCACAGGCCGCTATCGCCACACTGCACAACCATTTGCTGCGGCCTTCCTGCCCGCTACTTGTGTGCCGCAGCACCGAGAAGTGTGAGCTGAGTGTGGACGGGCTGCCACCGGATCTGACCCATCGCGCTCTCCTCCTTGCTCTGCAGCCACTGAGTTCCAACCTGCAGGAAGCGCTGCTGCTGCCCAGCCGTGGGCCCGAGCCCAAGCAGATGGCTCTGCTCAAGTTCGGCTCACACCGCGCCGCTGCCATGGCCAAAAAGGCCCTGGTGGAAGGTAGGTGTAGAGGATACTGGGCTGATAGCATAGCATGTCAATTTGCAAAGTGCATTAGCATCAAGCACGCCTGAGTTTGTGATGTTTCACTGATAACAAATGTTCTACTAAACCTAAAGGAGCTCTGGTAGTGTAGTGGTTACAAATCAGGCTGCGAACCCTAGGGTTCGCAGGAGAAAGATGAGGCTTTCTGATCCCATGAAGATTTACAGCCGCGGAAACCCTGTACAGGGTGGCTATGAGTTGGATCCGACTCCACAGCACATAACATTAGTTGCACATTATTTTTAGATTCAACCAACATTCCAATGAAACAATCATTCCTCTCTTTAGAAATATTTAAATGGACTTGCCCTAGGCAGTCTTTTACCCCCACCATAAAGCCTGCCTTCCTTATACTGTTGAGAATTAAGTCAATTTCAGGACTTAGTATTCAGCATATTTTCTGATTCAAAGTAAACACTCACTGTTAAGATGGTAATGAAGTTGACCTGCCTCAATCAGTACTCCAACGTGCCATGGGTTCCAACTCGTTAACGCATAACAGAACCATTAACACTGCCCAGGCATGCGAGCCTATTGCTGCTGTCACTATGCCATTCTGTCTTGTTGGGGGTCTTTGTATTTTGAGTGCCTTCCCATCTGAAGGGCTCATACTGTATCTGACAATATTTTGGTGCTATCTGACAGTGTTCCACTGCTATTCATAAGGTTTTCAGTGGTTAAACATTCAGAAATAGTCTGCAAGCTCAGCTGAAATTTGTCCACCATGGGTGGACCCAGCTGGTATTTAAAAATACCAATAGCATAGCTTCCAGCATCACAGCAACATACACACCACCACAGTATACCAGTATACTGACAAACTTCTTAAGTGTTGTCAAGTCACTTCCAACTCATGGTGACCCTGTATAGTTTCCAAAGAGAGATGACTTTGAACCACCAACCTTGCGGTTCCATCCAACTTTGCAATCCAGTGCTTATCTTATAGCGCCACACCAGGAATCCAGACAAACTTTTATACCTCCTTTACAAATAAAAACAGTGATGCCTGGAGATGTTTAACTTTCCTAAGGTCATTCCAGGTGGAAATGGGGAGACTAAGACCTAAACCCAGACCTGTGTGAAGGGGCTCAAAGGCTCTGGGGACTTAAGCCCAGGGCTCAGATGTGCCTTGATTCCTGCTTTATCTTACAGGACAGTCATGCCTCTGTGGGGAACAAGTGACTGTGGAGTGGCTTAAACCAGACCTGAAGCAGCGACTCCGCCAGCAGCTCATGGGCTCTTCACTGCAGTGCCTACAGCCAGAGGGCAGCCGATTGGCCCTAGCCAGGGACAAGCAAGGTCCCCGAGGAGCTCGGGTTGCCCTACAGCTGCTGTGCCAGCGAATGAAGCTGGGCAGTCCTGTGTTCCTCACCAAGTGTTTAGGCATGGGCCCTGCTGGTTGGCACCGTTTCTGGTACCAGGTGGTGATCCCTGGGCATCCAGTGCCCTTCAGTGGCCTTATCTGGGTTGTGCTGGCCCCAGATGGGCAGGATGGGCACCAGGTAGCCAAAGATGCTGTGTCTGCACGGCTGCTGGAGGCGTTGAGTGAGTGTGGGGCCAGTCTTCTGTTCTCTGCTGGGGCTGAGGCAGGTACCATGGTTAAGCAGTGACCCCATCCTTTCTCCACAGGCAGCCTGGATGGGTAGAAGGAGCCTGTGTCAGGCCCCAGCCCAGCAGGCCTGGGTGGTCACCATCTAAGCCCAAAAAGGAGAAGGGGCATGGGCCCTGCCACATACCTGACACGTGTTCCCTGCTAGGGCAGAACCCGTGGCACCTAGGGGCAACTCAAGTTTGGCTAACTTTGTGGGGAGGAACCTGGACCTCCTTCCAACCAGGGCATAACCTGGCTTTATGGTCTTCTTGGTGCAATTCCTTGTGTGACACACACACATCCTTCTCCCCCTCCCTCCCCACAGTTTAGCATGACTTCATTTCTCACTTTTCTGGTCCATTATGTTGGTTACGTTTTTATTTAGGGACTGGCGGAGCCGAAGAATCAGAAAACCTGCCCTTTTCCCTCACTACCTGGCATTCTGTTTTGGAATTATGTATAGTTTCAAGTTTTTCTATGCTAGTTGTATTTATATTAAACCCGTGATTGGTATACATCTGTGTCTGTGCTGTCTTGCCCAGTTGAGAACTTGTCTTCCTCACACTGGTATATGGGGCTAGGACCCCTCCCCACTGTGCTGCCCCAAGTTCTGGGGGGCCTGTATGTATCTTCCTGAGATGCTCAATAAAAAAAAAAAAAAAAACTATACCCGAGTCTGTGAGTCCATTCTGACTCATGGTGACCCCAAGTCTTACAGAGTGGCTGCTCCAAAAGGTTTTCTTGGCTATACAGAAGCAGATTTCTAAGGCTTTCTTCACAGTACCATTGAGCAGGGGTGAACTACCAAGCTTTAGGTTGGTTGTTGTCATGTGCAGTTTGAGTTGGCTCTGACTCATAGCGACCCGATAGGGTTTCCGAGAGCAGCTGATGGATTTGAACAGCCTACCCTTACAGTTAGCAATCCAGTGCTTACTCTGCAATGCCACACCAGGACTCTTTAGTTACGTGCCGTTGAGTCACCTCTGACACATAATGATCCTGTATAGGATTTCCAAGGAGTGGTGGTGAGCTTGAACCGCTGACCTTGTGGACCAAACTCATGAAGGTATAATCAATGCATAGCCTCTCAGGAGTGGTGGTGAGCTTGAACCGCTGACCTTGTGGACCAAACTCATGAAGGTATAATCAATGCATAGCCTCTCAGGAGTGGTGGTGAGCTTGAACCACTGACCTTGTGGACCAAATTCAGGAAGGTATAATCAATGCACAGCCTCAGGTTCCAACCCAGGAAGCAGGACTTTGCACAGCAAATGAGGACCTGTCCTGAGAATTAACTCATTCCCTCAGTCACTGTCCTCTTCACTCTCCTCATCTCCAAGTGTCATGGAGTCCTCTTCCTCCTCCCTTAACCCTGCAAAGAAGTCATCGGTGCTCCAGGCCTTGCTGCTCAGGGCGCGCAGTGGCCCTCCCTTTTTCTTGCGTCGACGGTAGTCATTCACCACCACAGTCCGCAGCTGGGCCATGTCCCAGAACTTGATACGCTGGTCATGGCCGCTGCTGGCCAGGAAGCGACCACAGTGAGAGACAGCCAGCTCCTCCACAGGTTCCCCAGCATGCTGGCCCACAGTACCCACCACTCGGTTGGGCAGGATGTTCACAGCCCTGGGTGGGGAGAGGGAAGAGTGTTAGTACTAGTTGGCTGGATCTGCCCTGCCCTTCTGTGACCAGAAGGCCCGCCTAGCTTCCCTCACCTGATGACTCCATCAGTGGAGCCAGTGCACAGCAGGCTCTCAGTAACGGGAACCATGCAGTCGATGGACTCGGCTCTCAGGGCAAAGCGGTCACTCGTGGCCCCAAAGCCATCCCAGTTAAAGAGATAGATGGTACCTTCACTGGATCCACAGGCTACCTTCTTCCCATACTACAGGGAGACAGGGAAAATTGGGTCTGTGGAGCCACGTGGGACGCAAGTCCCTAGCACACCCTCATTCCACTGTATGCAGCTATCATACCTTCATAAGGGTGACAGAAGTCAGGTCCCCAGACTGAGGCTCTGACAGGAGCTCAAACCGGCGCCGTTTGATGTTGAACACGCCAAGGCAGCCATCCCCACTGTGGAGAGCAGAGCGGTAGGCTTGGTTAGAAGCTCTCTATGAAACATTTTAACAGGTACAGGCAGCTTTGAGGGTTGTACCTGGCTGTGAGCAAGAGCTTCTTGGCCGGGTCCAAAACCATGTCAGCGATATATTCCTCATGCTGTCGCATATCCATTAAGGGGCCCTCTTTCCGCTGGTCCCATAGACGGACACCACCTGTATCGTCCCCAGTGGCCAAAACATTCTCATCCACCAGCAGCAGACTGTTGATAGGTGCACTGAGGACACAAATATAAACCTTTCCAGAATACCTCTGTCCCAACAGGACCTCTCCTGATCCTTGCCCCTCCCCTCGTCTGCATACCTGCACACTCATCCCCTTACCTATGAGCCTTAGAAATGCGTCTTTCTAGTCGGCCCTCCTCCACATCTAGAATGTGGATGGCTTTGTCCTTGGAGACAGTGACCAGTTCTAGGGGAAAAAGGTGACCAGGTTGTGGTGCTGTTCATTGCTCCCTCCACCATACTGTTGGCTGTCCTCCCCAATACTCACTCTGTCCATCTTCAGAGAAGACCACTGCCCGGCAAGACTTGAGGTGGTGGCCCGAGGACCAAAGCTCCTTGGTTTCTCCCTCTTGGCAGGAGTAGGAAAAGCTGATGAGAAGGGAGGGATTGTGAATGATCCCAGTCCCCGCCAGGGAACATGGACTACAGAAATTAACTACACCAGGCTTCCCCCTGCCCAGGAGTTCCTGTTTGCACACTTCCAAGCCCAAGGGGCTTAGCATGCCATTTTCAGTGAGCTTCAAATGTTTTTTTTTTTGATTCAGTATACATTAAGTCCCAGTATATCTGTCCAGAACCACTTTACGACCTCTCATCCCATCCCTGTCATCCTCGAAAGCCCCAGTCTAGAGATTGGGTATGAACCACTGTGGTGGTCAGAAATTGCAGAAGACCAGTCCCAGAAGTTGAAAATCAAGAACTCAGTAAGACAGGGCTCTTATACTCTAGGTCTTCAGGAGCAAGGAAAAGCCACAATTACTCACTGTACATTGTAACCAGGTATTGAAAAAAAAAGGATCAGAATGGACATGGATCAGAGAGGTGCACCAACTTGTAAACTGTCTGGAAAGCATTCCTAGTGGCTGCCTCAAGAGTTGACCCTCAAAAAGGGCCAAATGAATAATTGACAATAAACTCCAGTACAGGACTAGACCTAGTTGTTGTTTGTCCCACAGCCTAACACAATGCCTCACATGAAAAAGGTGCTTAAGAAACAGATTGAATGAATGCTTAGAAAGAAGAGAACACAGGAAAGCAAACTAAGGTATTAGATTTTGAAAATTAAGAGTTCAAATGGCAGATGTCAGCATCTCTTTTAGGGCAGAGACAAGGAATGGAAAGGGTTCAAGTAGCATGGCTGATTGGGACAAATAGACTGAACTGGTCTTGAATTTACATAGGCTACACACAGGTCTGAATTTAATTCTATGAGCAAAAGGGATCTCTCGGGAATGGTCTTGGGGAAGAAAAGTTAGAGGGCCACCACAAGGCAGAGACTGAGGATGGAGAAGGGGAGACCAAAGGGTATATTCAAAAACCTTTGGGAGACAGAACTTGATGACTGAAGCGATATGAGAGGGACGGTGCCAAAACTTTCATGTGCCTAACACTGTAAATATAGATAGTAGTAAAAGAGTTGTGGGATGACATCAAGAACATCATACAGGAAGAAAGCAAAAAGTCATTAAGAAGACAAGAAAGAAGGAAAAGATCAAAATGGATGTCAGAAGAGACACTGAAACTTGCTCTCCAGCGTAAAGATGCTAAAGCAAATGGAAGAAATGAGGAGGTACAAGAGCTGAACAGGTAATTTCAAAGGTCAGTTCGAGATGACAAAGTCAAATATTACAGTGAAACGTGCAAAGATCTGGAATTAGAAAACCAAAAGGGAAGAACACGCTCAGCATTTCTCAAGCTGGGTAACTGAAGAAAAAAATTCAAGCCTTGACTTTCGTTATTGAAGGATTCTCTGGGCAAATTATTGAATGATGTAGGAAGCATCAAGAGAAGATGGAAGGAATACACAAAGTCACTCTACCAAAAGGAAATGGTTGATGTCCAACTGTTTCAAGAGGTAGATATGATCAAGAGCCAGTGATACTGAAGGAAGTCCAAGGAGCTTTGAAGGAATTGAGAAAGAACAAGGCACCAGGAATTGATGGAATACAAATTGAAATCTTTAAGCAAAACGAGGAGACACTGGAGGAACCCACTCATCTCTGCCAAGAAATGTGGAAACAACTATCTGGTCAACGATTGGAAGAGATCCATATTTATGCCCATTCCAGAGGTGACCCAACAGATTGCAGAAATCATTAGACAATATCTCTGCTATCCCATGTGAGTAAAGTTTTACCAAAGGTAATACAGAAACGGCTGCAAGCATACATTGACAGAGAAGTTCCAGAGGTTCAAGTCGGATTCAGAGGATGACATGGAACGAGGGATATCATTGCTGATGTCAGATGGATATTGGCTGAAAGCAAAGAATACCAGAAAGATGTTTACCTATGCTTTATTAACTAAGCTAAGGCCTTCAATT